GATGGGCATTCCCGGATCCCTTACTGGGATTATCGCAGCGAGAGCTTTTTTGGGGCCGCTGTGCAAATTCTGTGCGAAGGGAAAGGCTTTGCCCTCGCAGAGCGGGGTGAGCTCTCCAGACACGGCTGTGGTTTGGTTTGTCCTGTGGGACGTGCAGGTCTGGTCCGGCTCTTCCATAAATCCCGGCACACAGGTTGTGCAGTCTCTGCTGCCTGAAGCAGCTCGGGGGCAAAACGCTGCTTTGCCCAAAGCTACAGGGAGTCATCCCTGAGCTCCTGAAATCCTGTGCTTAGTCGTCCTTTCTGTGGTTGAGTGGAAGCTCACGTTCCATAGACACATTACTGGGATGGATCCAGGTAAATCCCAACACATCCTGGGCGTGCAGACCTTCTTCCATACACAGGTTCTCAGACCCACACGAGCTGTGGGCTCAGGGAGCTGCGCTCCTGCTCCTCAGGCCTGGGGCTGCTACAGCTCCTCTGTTTGCATCCTGTCTGTGCGAGAATGAGCAGGGAAAAGGACTTTCCTGGAGTGTTTTCCACCCTCTGGTCAGTGATGCAGTGCCGGGGTCGATGCTCCCAGGAGCTGCTCCCTGTGAGGGGCTGCACCCTGAGCTGACATGGTTAAGCTCAGTGTTAGATCTGGCACAGCCAGGTTAGACCAGGAGAACCTAAAACTGGGTGAGATCAGCCCGGGGCTGAAGGAACCCCCTGGTTAAACACTGCAGGAAGGGCCAGTCCCTGTTCCCAGAGCCCCTCTGCCCATGTCCATGCCCACTCACCTTTCCTCTGCTCTCCAGGCCATGGATTCTCCCTATGCCAACGGAGCCTACAGCCCCCCGTACCCGCACTACCCCAGCCTGCCCCAGGCACGGGGGTTCTACTGCTCGGGGCCCCCCCGGGCCCCCTACCCCCCGGAGCCCACGGGCCTGTACCGGCCTCCATCGCCCGCTCCCGCCTGGAGCTACGTGTCCCCGGAGTGTCCCGCCGAGGGCTCCGCGCTCCGGAGGCAGCAGGTCCCTGGCTACTCCCCACCACAGGTAAGGGACAGTCTCCAGCCCCAGGGTCGGGTGTGCAGTTCGTGGGATGTTTTTTGGGGGCTGTGGTGGGGGATGTCCAACCTGAACCTCCCCTGGAACAGCTTGAGGCCGTTTCCTCTTGTCCTGTCTCTTGTTCCCTGGGAGCAGAGCCTGACCCCCCCCCAGCTCCACCCTTCAGCTCCCAGGGCTGTTTGGAGGGAGCAGTGCTGGGAGTGACCCCAGTGGTAACACCTGTTCCCCCTCTCCTTGCAGACCCCGGGAATGCCGATCCCGCAGTATCCGTACGGAGACAGCAGTGCAGGGGTCACGGCACAGGGGCCTGTGCCACAGCCCAGAGCCCCAGAGGACACGTGGGGCCCCCCCTCAGTGTATGGGGTGCAGCCACGTTACGCCTGGCCCACGGCCCCAGGGCACGGGAACCTGTACGTGTCCGACTCACACCCGTCCTGGACCAACAGTGGGGCTCCTTCCCACCCTCCTGCCTGGGACTCACAGGTACAGGGACCTCTTTGCAGACAGGAGACCAAAATCCACAGCTGTGGTTCCGTAAACTACTGGAGGTACCAGACATCCTGGGGTGGGTCTGGAAATGGGTCAGACCTCGCCTGGCTTGTCCGAGAGCAGCAAAATCAGAAATTGTCCAGCAGGGAGCGTGGGACTGACCTGGGGGACAGGTGTTCAGCTACAGGTGCTTGTTTTGGGCACAGCCATCCCCTGCTGAGGAGGGGCTTAAGTAAAAATCAGAAGGAAAATGTCTGTTCATTCGGCTTGGTCCGGGTTCGATCAGGAGCCAAGTGACTCTCCAGAGGTTTGATCCCCAGGGAACAGCAGCCCTGAGAGGGGGATTTGGGGATAGGGGCTGCTGTTCCTTGGGAACACCTCCAGAGTGTGTTGCCTGTGGAGAAGGATCTTCTGGTCTACCCAAACGGGACCGTGCTGAAATCTGTTCAGCATCTCCCCTGTCCCTGGGTAACGAGGGTTCAGGGGCTCACTCTGCTCCTGCAGACACGTGCCCCTTGCTGAGGTTCTGCTCCAGCAGTGCAGATCCCTGTGCCCAGTTTCCCCAGCCCTGCCCACACGTGGTGCAGGCTGAGAGTGGAGACCCCCCCGGGTTTAAGGGAGATGCTCTTACGGGTGTTTTCTCCCTCCACCGCAGGACTCTGCCTACGACAGACCCGAGCAGAGCCCGAGCCAGCACAGCTACTACTCCGAGGTGAACCAGCAGCCCTCGGGGCCGGCGGGGGAGCCCAGGCCGGCCCAGCCCCGGGTGCAGTACAGTGCCCAGCCCCAGCTGTACCGGCCCACGAGCAGGGAGCCCGGAGCCAAACCTGCCGAGCCGCCTCCTGCGAATCCCACAGCCATCCAGCCCGAGATCCAGAGGATCCTCCACGTCATGGGGCAGGCTGAGCAGCTGGAGGAAGAGGTGGATGAGTTTGTAGGGAAAAAGACAGATAAATCTTACCGGCTCCTGGAGGAGATGTTGACCAAGCTGCTGCTGGAGCTGGATTCCATCGAGACTGGGGGCCAGGACAGTGTCCGGCAGGCCAGGAAAGAGTCCGTCCACAGAATTCAGGCCATACTGGAAAAACTGGAAAGAAAGGGATTGTGAAAGCACATCAGCCACAACACACAGCCTGTTGTTGAGGTTCCAAAGAGTTTCAGTTCTCTCAAATCTCAGCTCTTTCTGCTACGCACTACTGACAATGGAAAATAGCAATAAGCCCTGAGTTAACAATCAAAACAAACCCACAAAAAAGCCACCCCAGAAGCCCAGCCCTGACAGACAACTTGGCAAAGGACAAATTGAGAGAGGTTTGAAGAAGCAAATGTCATTAATGAAGATGTTGAAGAGGACTGGGCTGAGGATGGAGCCCTGTGGGGCTGTGTACAGAATTCCCCAGACCAGGCCCAATCTCTGGGTGCCTCCTGCAGCCACAGATGGTCTTTAAACACTTGCCAGATGTGCTGCAACGTGCAGCCACCAACCAAGACTCAGGGCTTGTCCTCACTGCCTGTGTTTTCAGCTTCAGCTCCCTCACCATAAAGCCCGTGTGTCCTCGTGGGGGTTGTTTGGCTTTAGTGCACTCAAGGAGTGACACCGAAGTGCTGGAGGGGGGCACTGTGCTGGCACATCACGTCGGGCTGTTCCTCCTCTGAGGTGAGAAGCCAGTCTGGGGTGTCCCTGTGGACTTAGGAACACAGACTGGAAATCCCAGTTCTGCCACTGGAAAGGAGAGGTGCAAGCGGAGGAATGATGTCAGAACAGATGCAGGGGGTTTGGAATTGATTTCCAGGTCACTTGGGTAAAAATCCCGTTTAATGTCCCTCTCATCCTGTGAGTTTTGTGTCCCACTGCACAGCGGGGAGGGAACAGCTCAGCCTGTTTCAGCCTCCTGGTTACAACGTGCTCAGTGACTCATTGCTGTGTGTGACACTCAATAAACCCTGACAAGTTTTAAATGTTATTTTGTAATTGAGACGTCTCAAAGTCTCTTTTTCTTTACAGAGAAGTGGTGGGGAAGGTTGTGTAACTCAGACCAAAACTCCAGCCGGGCTGTCTGGGTGCCCAGGTCAGGGGTGAGTGGAACATCTGAGAACACTGGGCTGGGGGTGTCAGTGTGTCCCATCACCTCCCAGGCAGTGCAGATGCTCCAGGAGCCTCCAGCTGTGGCTCCAGGAGCTGTGGCCAAGTTTTGGAAGGGGTTTTGGCAGGCCTGAGGCCGGGAGTGCCCTGACCATGCACTCTGAGGGGCTGACAGCCAACCGATGTCCTGGAGGCACCCAGCAGATCCCACATTCCCAGACGGAGCTGCAGGCATGGGACTGACCTCTGGAGCTCGTTGGATGTGTCTGTGATCACACGTGGTCAGCCTGCACACCCAGCCGTGTCTGGGGTGAGCTGGAAGGGAGCTGGGACGGGGAAAGACTCAGCTGCTGTTTCATCTTGTCCTGTCAGGAGGGAGCAGCCAGGCTGAGCTACTCCATGCTTGCAGCCTGTTATCTGCCTGTGGCTGTGTTAATCACAGAATCATGGGATGGTTTGGGTTGGAAAGGACTTTAAATCTCATCTAGTTGCACCCCCTCTGCTATGGGCAGGGACAACTTCCACTAGAGCAGGATGTCTCTGAGCCCTGTCCAACCTGGCCTTGGACACTCCCAGGGATGGGGCAGCCACAGCTTCCCTGGGCAGCCTGTGCCAAGGCCTCATCACTCTGACAGGGAAAAAATTTTTCATAATATTCAATCTAAACCTGGTCTCTCTGAGTTTGAAACCATTCCCCCATGTCCTGGGCAGCCAGCAGCTGTCAGCCTAAAATCCCTGGAGCTGGCTGAAACCGTTTTCTGTGTTTGTTTCAGTAGCACGAATCCCATCAGGAACAACTCTGCATTGTTTATCACCTCCTGTCTGCTCCAGTCCCCATTTCCCTCCTCTCTGTTGCCAGGGAGAGGAGGCAGGTAGATCCCAGCTGTGTGAGGAGGAGTGTGGAGCAATCCTGGTGCCTCACACTCAGCACTGCAATGCAGGGAGCCAGGAGAGAGGGACATGCTGTGCAGGTGGCTGCTGTGTCCCCAGCACTCTGGGGACAGGACAAAGGTCCCTGTGCTGTGGTGACCTGCTAAGAACAGGGTGAGAAGAACTGCAGGTACGTGCATCCAAACCAGGGAAAACCTGGGAGGAAGGAGGAAGCTGTTTTGGTGCTGAACCCATCCAGGTAACGTATTCCTGAACAATATTTCCTGTTCCTGCCTCCTTGGCAGAGGGTTATGTAAATCCCTAGTGAAAAGCACAGGAGGGAACGTTAAGTGGGCTGGAAGAGCAGGTTATCATTGCAGGGAATTTGAACAGCTCTGTGGGATGGCCTGGCTACGTGTGACCTTCGGGCGTCCCTGGGTGCGTTCTGTGTTACCCCACACCTGAGCTGAGCTGAGAAAAGGGATCAGGGCACACCTCCTGCACTCAGCCTGCACGAAACTCCAGCTGCTGTAACCACATCCGTCCCTGCTGCCTCCACCTCCTTCACACGGGACCAAAGTGGGTCATGGCTTGGGCAGATGGTCCCAACAGAGTCAGTCTCTGCCCAGCAGCCTGAGCAGGTGCTGTGTCAGCACTGACTGGTGTGGGCCCTGCACGGACAAGGTTTGCAGCCGTTTGCTCTCCATCTGCAGAGATGGGAAATTTAGCACTCCTGGCCCTTCAGTTTTCCTCACCAGTGTCTGCCGTGGTGGAAGTGAGCCCTGGGATGGGAGTTCCTGGCAACTGGTTTATCTTGCAGCATCCACCCACATCTCAAAACCCAAATTAGAAAGTCTGTCTCTGTTTATCATAGGGCCCATCTCTACAGAAACCAAACTTACTCTGGGGTTGCCCCCGTTGCTTCTCCAGCAGCGCCTGCCCTCGGTAGAGGGTTTCTCAATC